ACACAGTATCTGGGTAACAGATAAGGAAGTATCTTTCCTGACAAACAGTGCCTGTTTTATTTTGAGGGAAGCCACTCTTGAAGGGAATTGGGTCATTATAAAAATAGGTCCTTGGTGGCTAAGTTCCACTCCGCAGGGCCTGGGCTGTCCAGCAGGGTGTATTGGTGGATAATGTGGCCTCCGCAAACAAAGTTCTAATAGCCAAGGCTCTCTGGTCTTAGAATTTGGGTACAGGACACTCTGGTTCCAATTGGCTGAAGCTTCACATGAAACAAACACATTAAAAAATAAAACTGCAGCTCCACTTGGCAGGAACTTCCAAATGGCCAGGATGACTTCAGGCCACTATAAAATCAAGTGCTTGAATTTCTTGTCACTTGTCTCCTCCCTCCTGCACCTTAGACTTCTGTTCTGGGGCTGTGTCCACCTTCTAGGCTCCAGCACAGTCTACCCTACCCAGAGAGCCCCTTGCCCAACCCCAGCCCAGCTACAAAGTCTGGGGTCAGACATCTTTAGTGAGCCACACCTGAGCCAGGTGCCCAGCCAGGAAGAGAAGTCAAATGGACCCAGCATAGAGAAAGCAGAGTTTTGCAGAAGCACTGGTGACTGGAGATGTGCATGAAGAGAAAACAGAAATGCACAGTGCACAAGTCTTAGTGGGGTTTCCCTGGGGGATTGGAGCACTGAGCTAGATCCTGAAGCTGAATGGCTGGTGACTGCTTAGGCACAGGTTAAGCTGGTGAGACAAGAAACCCATGGCGTAGGACTTTCCAGGTACAGTTCTAGGCAAGGTGGGATGGCTTCATGGTACCAGGGATTCCTTCCAGGCCAGTGTGATGTCCACCTGGTCGGGCAAGGTGGTGCTTTTAGACCATAGAAAGAGAGGTACAAACACAAGCTGGAAATTGGTTACATCCATGCTGCTCTTGTCCTGTGGTCCAGACACTTGTGGCCACAACTGGTAACCAGGGAGGCTGGGACAACGTCTTTAACCAGATGAGATACACCCCTCAGGCTTCTGTCACTGGGCCTCTTACATGAACAGCAGGGCTGATGCTTCGTGTCTGCCACAGGTAGGCGGTAAATCAGCCTTTCTTTGGATGACAGGAGGATCCTGGGGTATAAGGACTGGAATGTGAATGGGTGAAACTGAAGAGGCCTGAGAAGTTCTATGCTAAAGCTCAGTCTGTAGCAGCACTGCCCTGGGATTTTGTTCGGATCTTAGGGTTTCAGGTTGTGCCACCCTCTCTGTCTGGAAAGTTGTTTGCAGTCTTTGAATATCATTCTTTGTCTTAATCACCTTCCCATCGCTGGGACAAAATACTTGACACTAGGAAATTAAAGGAGAGGTTTATTTTGGTTCATGGGTTCAGAAGGTTCAGTCCATGATCAGCAGGCTCCAAGGCGTAAAATCCTGGTGGAAGGGGGTGTCAGCCAGAAAGTGTGCACTGGGGAAGAGCTAGAGAGGAACAGTGCCAGAGGCCGCACCCTCACCTCCGGCTAGACACACTCAGAGGTGTGCTTTACTAATGTCCTCGGTGTATGTCAGGACAGCCAAGTTGACAAGATTAACCATGATGGTTTCAGTTCAATTTCTATTGCTAAGGATGTGTGCCTTATAAGAAAAATACATTTAGCTCAGCATTTTGGGGATGTTAAAGCAGGGGCCCTCGAGTATGTCATAGTGTGTATGACTGATGCCACTAGGGTAGAAATTTATGGGAGATGGAGAGGTCACCTGGCAAGACAGCAAGCCTGAACCACATGTTCTGCACGCAGGAGGGCAGTGAGGACATCAAGGGAGTATGATGGAAGCCACCTGCTGAAGATCACACAGGGAGGCTTTGGATTTAAGCCAGAGTCCATGCATCTAAACCTTAGGTGTTGATGAATGAAGTTCCTATTATTGTGACTTATTTCCAGACTTATTGACAGAAGCTCAGAGAGGTGCAGTGATGTCCCCAAAGCTACACAGTGGGAACAAAGCCCCAAGGACAGCGAGCCCTCTGTTCCCCATCCGGCTGTTCATATGGCCCAGGTGAGGCCCTCACCCTCAGCCCTGTGTCTCCATGAGATGGTAACTGGTGTAAATAACTCTGGTCCCACTGTGACCATTCTGTCTTGGCCTTATCAGCCTAAAGCGTCCTCCAACTGTGTATCAGCCAGGCCTGGGCCCCAAATTCCTAGTGCGTGATGTGCACTCTGTCTGCGATAACAGCCTGGCTGGGCTCCCAGGGGACGGCCGCCTTGGCCACATCTCCAACTCAAGTAACAGAGGCTGGGAGAAGTGTCTGCGCTTTGTCTGGTGGCACAAAGCTGGCCAGGCTGTGGCTTCTTAGGCTGAAAGGTGAGCTTTCAGTTTTGTACTCGAGGGGCCCTCAGGCCACCACAGCCTCTGGGTCTGGGGCCTGTGACAGGGAAGGTCAAGGCAGGTTAGGTGGCTTAAGATCTGTCTCATTTTACTGCCCAGGCCATCTCCCTCACCTTGAGAAGGAAGGTTTCAATCTGTTATTTCTTCACTTGGCCTTTATTTACGAAGCACTCACTTTCTGATTGCAGTGAGGTCATCCTGTCCATCCTTGAGACAAGCCTCGATGTCACAGTGTTCATTTTAGAGAATGGAAAACAAAGACCCAGAGAATAGTCACTTGGACACAGTCATACAGTTGGCATGCAGTAGTTCTTTACCAGGTTATAGTAGTCTCTTATGAATGAACTTTAAAAATTCAATCTGAGCAGGGTGTGGTAGTGCTCAACTGTATTCCCAGAACTTTGAGAGACTGAGACAAGATCGCATTCAAGCCCAACCTGGGCAATTTAACAACTTAAGAAGTCTTATGGTTTGTGCCTGGATGTCCCCCCAAAGCCATATGCAGTCATGGGGGTGGGCTTCTGGAGTCTGTGAGTGATTCATAGCCCAGTGCTAGGATTATGAGTGTGAGTGCTATGCCCACTCTAAGGGTGGGTACCTTACATACAATATGAGGGACAGAAAGAGGTTTCTCTTGTGCTCTTCCCTTTGTGCCACACCACCCCGCCTTGGAGCCAGCTGATTATGGAGTAAAACCTCCACAAACTGTGAGCTAAATAAACTCTTCCTTCCCTCATTTTGGGTGTTGGATATTCTGTCCCAGCAACGAGAGAAAAATAACCAAGGTAGAAAGATCCTGTCTCAAAATAAAAGTAAATAAATAAATAAATAAAGTTCTAGGGATGTAGATCAGCGTAAAAACCCCAGATTCAGTCCTTAGCATAACACCCTCCACATGCACATATACACTCTCACATACACGTCAGTGGGGCTGAAGCACATAGCAGAGCATCAGGGTAATGTGTCAGTTGCTACTTCTCTTGGCTGGCGACACTGCAGTGTGAAAGGGCACTGCCTAGGTTTAGACTGAAAGAACTTTCAGAACTTCTTTACTGGCCCTCTTCTGGCATACACCGAGGTAGCTGGCTCAGTTCTCAGTACAGGCCTTGGTCTCATTACCTCCTGGCTCTGTCATGAGCTGCTGGTCCCTCTTGGCTGTACCACCTTTCTATATGTGACCTTGGGCAAGTGGGCTGCCTCTCTGCTGTCATGGGCTGCGGGGGCCCAGGGGTGGAGATGTCCACACTTTTGGGTCATTACTGCTGCCGAGATGTGAGGTAGTGACAGGCAAGGGAGGGGACGCTGAGCCTCAAGTCCTGGAAAATGTGGACTGGGGACTGAGACACAGAGACCAAGAGACAGAGAGTCAGGAACCAAGAGGAATAAAGGGAGTGAGATGGAGGGACAGATGACATTACACAGAGATAGAGATGCAGGAAGGAAGAGAAATGGGGTGACAGGGAAAGAAGGGAGAGGGACAGACAGACATGGATTCTCTGAAGGAGACACCAAGAGGGACAGAGAGGATGGTCACAGTGACAGAGACTGAGAGGGACAAAGGCGTATCCCAAAGAGGGCCAGTGAAGAAGTTCTAAAAGTTCTAACACCACACGTGCACTTACTTCCAAGTGGTTAAAAGGGTGAACTTTATCTGTAGAAATTTTACTACCATAAAAGAGAGAAACAGGGGCTGGGGATTTAGCTCAGCGGCATAAGCACCTGCCTTGCAAGCAGGTGGTCCTGAGTTCGATCCCTGGTACCGATAAAAAAAAAAAAAAAAAAAAAAAAAGAAGAAGAAGAAGAAGAAGAAGAAAAAAAAAAAAAGAGAAACAGAGACAGAGGCTGTGGCTGGAGAGGCAGAGAGGTGGATGGACATGTGGACTGTGGAGGGACAGCATTCCGGACTGCTGCCTGCCAGGCTAGCTTCTGGGACCCCCTGAGGTGCTAGGGGAGGGACCAGGTTTGCAGTCTGGGCTCTGGGCCAGTCCCCTTTCCCCTGGGCTGCTCTGGGGAATGTGGTTCTGGGCCGGCAGGACTCCGATCTTCCGGTATGGCTTTGGAGCCTCTGACCTGTAGGAGGACCTGAGACCGCCCCTGATCCCAAAATGCCCTCTTCCTGCCGTGCCTGTTCCTAGCGCAGGCACAGGTCTGGCGAAAGTGGGGAGCCCAGCCAAACTGGGGTGTCCCCCCACCCCGCCTGCCTCAGTGGGGGGCCGGATCAGCGGTCAGTGTTCATACCAAAGGCAGCATTGTGATGGGAGGCCAGACTGGCCTCTAACAGGATTGACCCTTGTTCCTTTTGTACTGGAGGGGCCCTCAGGCCACCACAGGGTATCCAAGCCAAGAGTCCTGGGCCTCCATCCAGGTGGGGACCCTGAGGCTCAGGCTGGCTGTGGTGGCTGGGCCACAGTGGCTGATGGTGACTTAAAGTTTAGAGAGGGCGGGAAAGTGATGCACCGAGGGTTCTAAGAGGGAGAGAGATGGGGTTCAGGTAGCTGCACGCATCTCCACAAGGCTCCCGGGCCCTGAGGGTGCAGACTCCGCCCCAGGAGAGGGGCTAGGGGGAGGGACACAGCTGCCCGCCCCGCCCCGCCCCGCCCACACGCCCACGTTCTCCGGCTCCCACCGCCTCGCCCGGCCCCGCCCCCGCCCCGCCCCCTCGTCCTCTGCCCCGCCCCGCGCCCCCCGCGCTTGGGGCCCGGGCTCTCGACGCCGACGGCTGCTGGACGGACTGAAGCCACCGAGTGGAGCGCACGGCGGTGAGTGTCGCGCCCCTCCCGCCCGGGACCCGCGTCCCCGCTGGGCACCCCTCTCCTCGCAGGCTGACACGCAGGGACGTCCTAAGGCTCCACCGCCCACCCGCCGGTCTCGTGGTCCGGATCCCCGCTGCGTGGGGGCTGCCGCGGGCGGGCGGGTCCCCCACCCACCAAGGCTGTCTCTTCCTCTCTTGCCCTGGGACCTAGTATGCCTCAGCCCTGTGCGGCAGGGTCCCTTGCCCCACTGGATCACGCCACGGATTCCCTGGGTCACTGCCCCGGGGGCAGGAAAGACTTGGACCTCTGCATCTGGTACTTCCCAGCTCTGATCCGCCTACCCCATCACACTCACGGCCACACATAAGTTTCAGTATGGTGTGTGTGGACGACCCAGCCCCCTCCTCCAGTCCACGATCTCTCCCACGCAGGGGCCCCAGTGCTCACACGTGCTTCCTACACACGTGCCCTGCACACCAGCGTCCCTCAGACACAAACAGCCCTCTATCAGATAACTGTGTCTTGATGGAACACGCATGCCTAACATGCACACGAGTCAGCCCCACGCCACTATCCATCACACACAGATCTCCAACACATGTGATACACGTGTTTCCCACACACGTGTATGTCTCTTACATATGCGGAGACACAAACAGCCCCACACTAAGAGTGCCTCACAACCCAGGACCTTAAACACAGTCACACACACCAGCAACTCCATGGTCCCCAGCCCTTTGGTCGTCCTGGCTATTCTGGTGGGCTGGGGAGACCCAGCCTTGGGGGAGGGCAAGGGGTGGCTGACAGGCTTTGTGCATGGTGGAGGCTCCTATCCTAGTGGGCCTGAGGGGCACTGGGGAGCACTGGTTGCAGGGGAGGGTGTGACTCCTCGCCTTCTCCACCCCTATTCTCTGCCCTCCCTGCTACGGCTTCACCCTTAGCCTAGTTTGCCTCTTTCTTGCTGTCGTGGTCTCTCCCAACTCAGCTCTGTGATGGCCACTTGGCCAGTCTGAGCCAGCAGGTGTCGCTGAGGAAGGCCAGAGAAAGAAGAGGAAAGTGTGCAGCCAGGGTGCTTGCTCCTCGAGAGGCCCCTGGAGAAGGGGGCTGACCCAGGGCCCTCCTGGAGGGAGGCCTGATGGTTTGGGTGACAGCCAGGCATGGAATGGGTTTCCTGGGACTGGGCCTGCAGTGGGAGCCAGTGCTGTTTGACACTGAGAGATTGAGACTCTGTGCCTTTGCAAAGTGGGGGTGAAGATGCCCCTTGGAGAGAGGGCTGGACAGGATGGTGCTGTTGCCGTGGGGTGCTCCCAAGGCTTCCTGCAACCTCCCCTCCCCCCATTCCAAGCCATGGGCTGGGGACAGGGTGGGCAATGGATGAAGTCAAAGCCTCTTACTCTGGAGACTCAGACCTGCCAGCCGTGGCTGTGGCTAGCCCTGCCTTTTTTGTTTGGCTCTCACTGTATTATTATTATTTTAAAAAAATCTAATTAGCTGCCAGCATTTACAAATTGACTGGATTCACATAGATGTCCAGATTTCCATCTTCTCTTGAAAAATATCATGAGTTCTGGTGGTTTGGGGTCCACATGCTTCCGTGACACCCCTTGGCTAGGGCTGCCACCCACCTCCTTGCCCCTGAGATGGGCAGGCATAGACTTTTCCTGCAGTCTCCACCCAGCCCTCTCACTGTTCTCACTTCCAGCCTGGCCTCTGTGGCTGTGTCAGTCATGGAAGTTGGACTCCTTTGGCTGCTCTGTCTACCTTGAGGGTGGGCCCAGGCTTGGTGTCCAGAGTGGTTGGGAATCTTGGTTACCTTGGGGACAGGAGCAGTGAGAGGTGTCCAGGGCCCTGGACCACAGGCATCTCTGCTGGGCCATAGGTACAAGGATCTGGAGCCCCACAGGAGGAAGGCAGGACTGAGTCTGGTGATGTTGTCTGAGTTACACCCTGTCCCCTGCTTCTCTTCCCAGATCTGCTGACCATCCTGCAAGTTAAGATCTGACACTTAGTTGGTAGATGGGGAGGGAGGCTTAGAAAGCTGGTGTGGAGGTCTTTGTCTGGAATCCTAGCACTCCAGAGGCTGAGGCAGGAGGATTGTGAGTCTGAGGCCAGCTCAGGCTGCATAGTGAGACTCTATCTCAAAGAAAAAAAGAAAGAAAGAAAGAAAGAAAAAATTTCCAGCAAAGAAGTGAGGAAGCAGGGATTTTAACCCAGGTTCTTTGAACCCTAAAGTAAGTATTGGGAGAGAGGTGAGGCTTGTGCCACTGACCTCGAGCCTGCCCCATAAACCACACACAGTGGGTGCTCAATACATGCTTGTAGCTCAGCTGGACTAAGGTCATTGAAACTGCTCAGGCAGAGAGGTTAGGATGGACTCAAGTTCAAGGTGTGAGGATTGCTTGAGGCCTGCATAGCTGTTAAGGATCCTTTTAATCAGCCAGAAAACAGGATTCTTGCCACAAGGTGGATACCCCTGAGTCCCAGGGAGTCACTGTGGCCCCAGAAACACCCAGGTTGTTCCTCCTTACATTTATTTAGAGGCTGCGGGTTAGGCACATACTTTCCATAAGCCCCCACTGGTGGTGGCAAATGAGATACCACACAGAGAGGAACTCAGGGGACCCACTGCAGTCAGAGGAACAGCTGGCTTCCACTGCATCTTGTGTTCCCCCAGGCGGCTGCTTGCTGGGTGGCATGGGGTGGGGTGGCCCTGTATTATTCTCGGACCCTCCGTTCTCCAACTGCTATATAGTGTGTGCCCAGAAGCATGTGCTTAAATGAATGGAGACCAGTCCTGGCCTCAGTGTGTGAGACCAGAGCTATTTTGGGCCTGGCAGCATGACCAGGTACAGAGGGCACATGGCCCAGGTTGGGTTGCTGTTGACCACTGTGTGCCTTGGGCCAGAGTGGGGAAGTGGGAAGGGTGGATTTTGGGAACCTACTCATGAACTCTGAGGACTTTCCCAGGATCTTCCGGCCAGGAGGAAGTCACTTGTCCATTCTGGACCAGGCATAGTCTTGGGGTCTCATAGGAGCCGCTATCTGACAGTTTGAAAGCTACTGAAGTTTTGAGCTAGGGAGTCAGGTGATGCAGTTTCCACTGAAAGACACCCTAGCTGGCAGCAAACTCAAGTCTTTGTGCCTCAGTGGAGATGTTGGCAGAACTGCCAGGCTGCCTGCTCCTTTGAGCCAGTTCTGTGCCAAGGGAAGAGGTATACCTCTTCCCTGCTCCATAATCTACAGGTAAGTGGGGGAGACAGGCCCTTTGACAGATCCTGCGATCCAAGGTTGAGTGCTGGTTGAATAGATGCTACATGACCTTACTGTGGATTATTATGCAGCTGTAAAAAAGACCTGAGGAAGCTCTCTATGGAAAGATCTTTAAGATCTACTAAAAAAGAGTGAGGAGCTGACTGGTGTGTAAAATGTGTTACCTCTTTTATAAAATCAGAATATAAATTCATGTATGCACCTGTGCATCCACAAACCCAAATGGACACACCGAGAACTAACCTCAGCGTTTCTGTTTCCCTCTGCTTGCCTAGGGAGGGGACAGAGGGCCAAAGGATAGTGAGACTTCCTGCTGGGTTCTTTGTTAGACTTTTTGGGTTTCCAAGGAGATCAAAATTATATAGTGCCAAAGTCCTTGTTGCAAAGTTTGGCCAACAGATAAAAGAAACAGCCCTGCCCTTTTTCTCTTCCCCTTTCTCCCACCCTTCTCCCGTGGGTGTGCCTGCTGGACGCAGGCCTGTGGGCTCTTCTGCAGGGGGTACCCCCTACTGATGGCCTGGTGGGAGCTGTGGGCCTCTGTTTCTTCATTCATTCAGCAGGTACTCAGTGAGCACCTCCTGAGTGCTGGGTACTGCTGTGAGTGCCAGGGAAGATGCCCTCCAGCACCATGGAGTTCCATCATCGTGGGCGACATGGACAGGGAGCAGATTAGTGCACAGTGTGATGTCTTGTGCATATGACCAGGACAGGGGCTGAGAAGGAGGGACCCATCTCTGGGCATTACTGGGGGAAGGGACAGTAAGACAGAGGCCATGGCAGAGACAAGTTCCCCAGGAGCATCTGGGGAACAGGACCCTTTCCCATGATTGTGGAAGTCCCTTGGGATGTGACTTGGAACCACTGAGGTGGGGATATTAGGGAGGAACAAGGTCTACTGAGGTCCTAAAGGTACCCCTGCTCCTGAGAAGTGGCGTGCAGGCTGGAGTGGCAGCGGAGGTCCTACTCTCAGCAGCACTGGAGGTGTGTAGCAGTCAGGTTGTGGGCCTCTAAGGAGACGGGCTGCTGGGATTCTGGCTGGGCTGTAAGCAGAGTGAGGCCAAGGCTCTGGTTTGAGGACAGTTTGATGAACACCTCACCCCATTCCTGGGAGCACAGGGGGCAAGGGAATCATGCATTTGTGGGTCCCTTTGGAGAGAGTGGAAACCTCCCTGCATTTTGTGGGTGGAGCCGGGGAGACCCTTGCAGGCATTGTGAACTGCCAGTTCCTCGGAATTCCTGGGCTGGAGTCAGCCCAGGCCTCGGACCTTCTTCTCTACACCACGATGTATGTGTGGGCTTGTTCTGGACAGGGGCTGGTACGTTGAGGGAACATTATGAACGAGGTGACTCTGTGGTCACTTCAAGGGCTGGGGGTGCTGCCCACCCAGCTCTGCAGTGCTGAGGTTGCTGGAGTCTGGGGCGATCAGCGAGGGCTTCCAGTATGAAATGGTGCTGGTACTCTGGTGGGTGGAGGAAGAGATCTAGGGATGGGAGAAAGTGTAGCTTCTCTTGGTGAATGAATTGTAGGGGAGATGGGAAAAAAGATGGGCAGGACCTTAAATATGGAGGACTGCCCCAAATGGAGGACTCCTGGTTTTCATATGAGGGCACAGTACTCTGAGCAGGAAGGGGCCCCAGCCAGACTTGTGAGGTTGGAGGACCAGGAGTAGGGTAGGACTTGGGGACAGCAGGTGGGAAGCCTTTGTGGGTGCAGAACAGGGAAACAGAGGGACCAA